CTCTACTATAGGTTGACTGGTCTAGCCTTAGTCCAGAGCATTCTGAAATCCTGGTCTGGATCAAGGAACAGGTCTGCCATAAACATGACACTCAAAAACAGAGCATACTCTTACAACCGGGGTGAGGGATCACATTTAGGAAGTGCATCTTTACTTCTCATAGAAGGTAAGAAAGAGGGTGGCAGGCTGAAATGCCAATTGGGCCAATCCTTTCACTAACTACATACAGTCATGACTGGTGCTTGTTTGGACTGGTGGGACAGAAGGCAGGCAGGTCAACCACAGATGGAGCCAGGGCCAATGAGAAACAGAGCTAACTAATTCAAGGTTTGTATCCACCACCATCCCTTCTGCATTCTATAAGGACAACACTGAAGCTAAGGATAAAGAAGGTGAGAGCTGGTGTACCAGCAACCCCAGATTGGATGCAAGCAAGGGCAGGAAGGGGCTGGAACTGTATGAGGGCAGACTGGTGTCAGTGGAACAGTGCCCCGTTTGTTCTAATGGACTGTCCTCCACTGACTACACAACCTTGGGAAATTCTGTGAATTCTTTATGAAACAAATGATTTAGCAAAAAGGAACCGCCAGAGTTGACAGAGGAACATCTGGAGTTGCTTCATCACTTCCAGTGTCCTTGGGCTTTTTTAATTGTCCCTTCCCTTGTTGTCATGTGTGAATGTTACTATATCTGGAACAAAGCTGTCTTGATAATAAAAAAAATAGCAGCAGGGACAGGCACCATCCAGAAAACTTGACACCCAAGCTAAAACCCTCACCAAGATGAAAGACAAAGAGGGTAAGAACAATATTTTTTTAGAGAGAGAAAACTGTCACAAAGTGGAAGATTTAAAATCGAGGGGAGGAAAACAATATGCCGCTGTGTGTGATAAGCAGCTTGCTCCTCTTTTGCAACACAAACTTCAGAAAAAGATCACAAAGTGCTTTCATACTTCAAGAACCTTGAGCTGCTTACTAAGCAAAGTGTAAATGATTGCTAGGAAGCTATTATGGCCAATTTTAATTGGTCCATGCTAATTGGGTTGCTAAATCTTAGGCTTTGCAGGATCACATCACTACAGTAAAAGCACAGTAGAAATCAGGGTGGGCACGCATCAAGACCCATTTAGTGCATGCATAAAGTTAGGGAAAAATTTTTTTTGTCCCAATGTGCATCACTTTTTTTACACTAATTACCTCAAAGTGCATTTGCCACTTCAGTGCACATTCAGCCAGTTTGGAGAGATGCTTTTTGGGTTATAGCCGGGATGAGGACCCTGTCTCTAAAGGGTCTCTCCAAACTGGCTGAACGACCAGAGTTTCTTACCATAAGTCATATTAGCTGGCGTTGGTGAGAGTTGGAGTCTGACAACACCTGAAAGACACAGGATCCCCATCCCTGGGTTACAGAAAACCAGACATGTTCATTCTCCTAAGAGAATGTTTTTGAAACTTTAAACAAGTCCAGTGTGCAAAATGAAGCAGAAATGGTATCATCCACTGAACAAGTTACTGGTCTGCCATATGAGTGAGTTCAGACCAAGAATCTTCATACTATGTGATGAGCAGAAGGAAGCACCATACATGCCCCACAGCTGAGTATCCTCTGTTTCCTGGATTTCTCTACAAATAAATTCCAGCCCAGTGAATCAGTACAGTGGTACCTCAGGTCACATACACTTCAGGTTACAGACTCCACTAATCCAGAAATAGTACCTCAGGTTAAGAACTTTGCTTCAGGATGAGAACAGAAATCGTGCTCCGGCGGCGCAGCAGCAGCAGGAGGCCCCATTAGCTAAAGGGGTGCTTCAGGTTAAGAACAGTTTCAGGTTAAGAACGGACCTCCAGAACAAATTAAGTACTTAACCCAAGGTACCACTGTACTATACGAAGGGAAGAAATCCTTTGCTAATTATAATTTCCTCTTCAAGGAGAGGTTAAGAAATCCAGTGAACTGAGCATTGGGTTTTGATCTTCTTTTTGTAAATTTCATGCCCTCCAACATTTCTTTAATGAAAATAGGGACATCCTATTCCATAATAAGTACTAATACTAATAATACTACTAGTAGTAATAATACTTGCTACTACTACTATTTATACCCACCCATTTGACTGGGTTACCCCAGCCACTCTGGGTGGTTTCCAACATATGTAAAAACATAATGAAACATTAAACATTAAAAAATAAACTTCCCTATACAGGACTGCCTTCAAAAATTTATCCAATGAAAATAGGGACATCCTACCATACCCTCCAACATTTCTCTGATGAAAATAAGGAGGTCCTAAGGAAAAGTGGGACACTCCAGGATCAAATCAGACACAGGGATGGCTTCTGTCAATCTGGAACTGTCCCTGGAAAATAGGGAAACTTGGAGGGTCTGATGTTTTATCTAGAGAGATTTTTGTAATCGTGTTCAGAACTATGCCTAGGGTTTCAAGGTGAAAGATCATAGCTTAGTGGCAGAACAACTGATTAGGAAGCAGAAGATTCCTGGTTCAGACCGTGATACCTCCAGATAGGGCTTGAAATGTCCCCCATCCAAAAACCCCAGAGACCTGCTGCCAATTAGCGAAGACAGCACTGAACTGGATAAAGCAGTGAACTGACTCAATATAAGGCAGTTTCCTCTCTTCCTGTTTTAACAGAGCAATCCACTGCAATGATACCCTCCCCTCCCAATGTTCACTGAATGCATCAAGCATCAGCTTTGGGCTGTGAGTAGCTGCACTGAGCCATGAATTTCACTAGCTGCCCTTGGATAAATCATGGCTTCTTGGCCTTATCTGCCTCAAAAGGTTGTTGTGATACAAACTACTGGATAAATCCAGGTACTCCTTGGAAGAAGGGTGGAATACAAATATACATTTCGGGGATGCAGATGGATCGTGCCATATATTGCCGCATTATCCAGCTACTTTGGAGGGACTCCAGACAACTGCACACAAATGTGTCCGGTTTTACAAGATTGCACACTAAGCCCCATTTATTTCCTTGACTTAAGCATTTAATGTTGTGCACTTTGGTTCTATTAGTGTAAATGGAAGAAGGGCATGCCTGATAGATGCTTGTTTACACCCCTGGGCTTAAAAGGCAAGAAAGCAAAGGAAAACAAAACAAAAAGGGGGGCTTATTTTCTTAGCCAGTATAGATTTCTGGGCATTAATCTGTCTCTATCTATTATCCACTTTCTTTAACCACACACACGCCCACAAAGCATCCAAGCAGAACTTGAGAGTTAATAATTTGTCACAGCCTCTTGTCTACAAAATTCCTTGCTGCCATTCAAAAAGCCATCGGTGATCAATGCCTGATAACAGCCTGATTTACCTTCATTATTTTAGACAGCAAGGTGATCTTAGCTGTTTTGGAAGACCACCATGACTCAATGGCAAACCAGTCACTTACATTCTCAGACTGAATGACTGGCACCTCAGATGGCTCTTGGATGGCAAGATTAGGAAGAGTCGAGTCCTTGTTGGGACATTGGTATGGGCGGACTGTCAGGCCATGTGGTCAATGCTGTGTGCTGGGCCTCTTGGTGGCTTTCTAGGATCCAGGCCAAGTACTTTCTGAGGTGCTGCAGGTCCACTCACCTTTGGAAGGGGTGGTGTTGCTGCCAAGCCACAGCCATGCTTGAGACCTGGGACTGGCTGGGCCAGGATGGGGCTGCTTGCCAGCGACTGGACAATGCTGGCAAGTAATGTGTGGGTGTTCCCCAGGTGGCAGGCCCAACTGACCAATGAGCACTACTTGGGCCCACTCCCAGGGGAATAAACTGTGGCCCACCTCCTCAGCCACCCATTTCCCCCCGCCAGATCTCCCTGTCAGGAGCTCGTCCTACTCTTGAGTAGGACCCTGGCAGAGACACAGGCCCAACTGTCATGTTCCCTCCCTCCTGGTCGATCGTTCGGGAGCTTCAAAAGCTTTCTTCAGCCCAAACATCACAGGGACCGATGCCAACAAACATCGGCACACTTAGAGATCTGCAGAATCTTCACAGCTTGCGTAACAGACCTCAGCAACTCAGCATTTTGGCTAATCTACTTTATTTACATATAAACACACATGGAGCAATGCAACATGGCTCCCTCTCTCTCTAGCATCAGATAGCAAAGAGAAAGAACAAAAGACAATAGTCCCACTCTACAGAACACAGTAACACAAATATCCTGTCTCCGTCACTTCCCACTCTGTGGAATCAAAACATACACCATCATGTGATAGACAACAATCCCATGACTGCAATCATGGAGAAGGAATTCTAACAATCCCTTCCTTCCTTTATTATTGGTTATTTGCTTATGCTACAACCTTGCTACAGACATTGTTGGCCACCATATTCAGAGATGGGCAGGAATTTTCCCCACTTGGCAAACTGGCCACTTGGTTTTTGCCTAATTCATAGCAATCGTCACAACTTTGTGAGGTTTAGCATTGGATAAGTCTTGGTCTTGGCTGGAGGGGAGGTTGTAGCCTCTGTCTGCCCCTCTTTGATTAAGGATATCCTATTCAAGGGATCAAGGAGGAGTGGCTTTTGTCCAACGCCCAGGCGGGGGCTAGGGCCATAGTACTCTTCCAATGGTGACCCCTCAGGGGATAGCCCAATTTGATGTGAATCATAGGGCACCCCCAAGTTGAGTTTATCCTTAGATGCACTCCCAGCAAGAGAGCTGGAGTGGAATATTGTTCACCCAACACCTATGCCAAACCATTCACATCTGTAACCAATAAAAGCTGTGCCTATTTGACTCCCAAAACTGTATGCTGTTGTATTGTCTGGATATTTACTCCCTGGGAACCCTGTGGGGGGGGGGTTACAGGATCTTGGCATGACTTTTAGAAGACATCTGAAGGCAGCCTTGCTCAGGGAAGTTTGATGTTTTATTTGTTTTTAATATTCTGTTGGGTGCCACCCAGAGTGGCTGGGGCAACCCAGTCGGATGGGCAGAACATAAAAATAAAATTATTATTATTATTATTAGCTGCTGATGGGTTTGGGATGCTGAGAATTGAACCAGGGTCCTTCTGTATGCAGAACACATGCTCTACCCCTTGAGCCAACCCTCCCACAACAAATTCTGTGAGGATGAAGCTGACTTCACTCCATGATTTATTTGCTACTTGTGACCTTTCAAGCACAATACCTGGTCTATAATAGAACAATGTTCCATAAAGCTTTCCCCCCCTTCATCTAAATCTAATCAAATGCTCATTTCGGGGAAGAAATTGCTTTTTGGATAAAGGATTTCCGAGGACCAGGGCAGAGACTTAGCATGCATATTTTAGCTTTGTAGCTCGGACCCCTCAAAAATAGAGGAGGGGGGAATATGGGAGTGTGACAATAAAAAATTAGTTTCACAAGATTGATTTCCTGGAGCAAAACGGCAGAAAAGACAACAGCAGAAAAAGAGAGCAAGAAAAGAACAACTGCACAGATGTGTAGTAACTTCACTGTAACAAAACAGAACATAAAACATTATTGGAACTGTATGCAAAGCAACACGGATCTGTAGAGTTTAAAACTAGTAATAAAGTGCACATAGCCTTGAGAGGTGTTCAGTACATGCTTGAATGGGGAGTTGGGGGGGCAGGATCTCTTCTTTTGGATAAGATTGCTTTTTAGAGGTCCTAAGAGTACAATATCATTCCCTGCGGTGGAAGTTTCTTCTTCTATTGGAATCATAGATCGAGACCTAAGTTCAGACCCAGTTTTAGGACACAGTTGGCCTTGGTCACCCTGGTGGATGGTCTTCTTCATGCGAGGGATGGGAGGAGGTGATGCAACCTTGTTGCTCTGGCTCAATCTCTTTGCCTCTTTCAGCACCATTAACCACTGTATCCTCCTCTGAGAGCCAGTGTGGTGTAGTGGCTAAGAGCAGTAGAGTCGTAATCTGGTGAAATGGATTCGCTTCCCCTCTCCTCCTCATGCAGCTACTGGGTGACCTTGGGTTAGTCACACTTCTCTGAAGTCTCTCAGCCCCACTCACCTCACAAGGTGTTTGTTGTGGGGAAGGAAGGGAAAGGAGAACGTTAGCTGCTTTGAGACTCCTTTGGGTAGTGATAAAGCAGGATATCAAATCCAAAGTCTTCTTTTTCTTCTTCCTCAACTGTCTCCATTAGTTAGGAGTTTACGGCATTGTGTTGCTTCTGTTCCTACCTATGGGGCTTCCAGACAGTTGTGTTGTGGGAGCAGGGTGCAAGGTAATAATGTTGTTTAATATTTATATAAAGCCACTGCTCACATGGTAGACATTTGATCAAGAACATTTTTACCCATCAAGCATATCACCAGGGAAATTCAAAAGGATTCAAGCCCATCAGTAAGATTTGTGAAGTCCAATGTGTTAAAATGTGATGTAGACTCTGATATTTTTGTAGCAGGGTTATTTAAAAATCTCCCATATTGTTTCGCTTTTACAGTCAAGTTATTTTATGTGATTGGACAGAAATCTTAGAGAATATCTGGCATTCATTCAATCTGGTAAACAGGAAGCAGCAAATTGTCCTCTTGCATTCACTACCTGTAACGTAGAACTGTAAACTCTACACCAGCCACTGGAAGATCATGCCTAGACAATATGGGAAGAATTTCAAGGAAATCTAAAGTAGTTTTATTTTACTTTTGGGCATCCCTACAAATTTATCCAAAGTAAACACTGAGACAAATTTGGAATTTTTAGGAAGCTGAAGTCGTCTTTGCAATGCTACTGATATTGTCAAGGGATTTTATGCACCCCTAAAATCACTGTAATGCTTTGAACCCTTTCATTTATAACATTATAAACAAACCCAGAATTGGTTTGAATCTTTGGATATCTCCAAGGAACAAGATGAGGGGCTTTGATTTGTGAAGACTTTTGTTCCGCCTAATGCATTTGTAAGAAAAATGAGAGCACTCTGTTGTACTCATCTCTTTGGGGAGAGAGTTCAGTTTTGTATTTTCGCTTTAGGCTTTATGTAACTTTTGAGAGAACAATTAACCTTTAATTGAATCGCTCACGAAGTGTTAGGTGCCCTTTCTTTAGGAAGATATTTGTTCTTCTTCTCTGAGGTAATGACAATTCTTTTTGTAATCCAGAATGGGACTCAAGATGTACGGAAACAAAAAAAAAGAAAAGCTCAGACACAACCAGCGCTATTTGCTTTCTTAACTTTACTAATGATATCTCTAATTTAGCAGCTTTGTACCCACTGCAATCCTCCATTGCTTACACGGATTATATGAACCTGATTCACATCAAGTCAGGTTCATCAATATATGAACCTGACTTACATCAAGGCAGACCTTCAGTGCATTTAGCAAAGTGCTGTCTAAGGTCTCAGACCAAAGTCTTTTCCTAAACCAGTCACCTAAGAACTATGTAACTGGAGTTGCCAACAATGGAGTCTGACGGTTTCTCTCTGTAAACCTTATGCACAGGCACTTAGCTGTGGGCCCTCCAATATAATCAGCTGTTCATAAAAACAAATTAGGAAAGATCATGGGTGCAAATTGTCTTCAGTGCCCCTGTTCTTAAGTGTTCTGAAAAGGGGTGGGCTAGTTTACTTAAGCACATGATGAAGGAAATGGTTACATAATAAGTTGCTCATTTAAAGGAGTGGTGGGAGATATATTTTTTTCTGCCTGAAGATCAATCACATTACCTTGTGTGCCAAGGCTCTGTGACTACCCAGTTCCCTTGGGAATTACCGTATTTTTCGCTCTATAAGACGCACCAGACCACAAGACGCACCTAGTTTTTGGAGGAAGAAAACAAGAAAAATATATATTCTGAATCTCAGAAGCCAGAACAGCAAGAGGGATCACTACGCAGTGAAAGCAGCGATCCCTCTTGCTGTTCTGGCTTCTGGGATAGCCACGCAGCCTGCATTCGCTCCATAAGACGCACACACATTTCCCCTTACTTTTTAGGAGGGAAAAAGTGAGTCTTATAGAGCAAAAAATACGGTAAATAACCAGACAAGACAACAGCATGTTGATTTTTGGGTTAAAATTAGGCCACAACTCTTATTGGTTACAGTAGTGAATAGTTTGATGTAGGCAGTGGGTAAAGCCATTGTTATTCCACTCCAGCCCCTCTGTTGGAAGTGTACTGAAGGGTAAACCACATCTTGAAAGGGGTGGCCAAGGAATGGCAGGTGAAATCATCCACCTGCCAACAATTTGTCCAATGCTGACAGGCTATGCTGGGTGGGCCCTGGGAATGGACCCAACTGACCAATCAATGTGGCTTACTCCCAGACCCACATGGGGATAAATTGCATTAGCCAAACACATGAAGATTCCTTCTTTAGGTGTTCTCACACAACCTGAAAAGATCTGGGCTGCAGGAGGTGAGGGACATGGATGTTGGCGACATGTCTACCATGCATGGTCTGCTCTTCCTTCCATTCATTGGTGACAAACACCTGAACAGGGCATGAGTCATGAGCTTTTGATGGTTTCCTTTCTAGATTTTTAGGGACGCAGGTGGCACTGTGGTCTAAACCACAGAGCCTAGGACTTGCCGATCAGAAGGTTGGCGGTTCAAATCCCCACGACGGGGTGAGCTCCCATTGTTTGGTCCCTGCTCCTGCCAACCTAGCAGTTCGAAAGCACATCAAAGTGCAAGTAGATAAATAGGTACCGCTCCAGCGGGAAGGTAAACGGCGTTTCCGTGCGCTGCTCTGGTTTCACCAGAAGCGGCTTAGTCATGCTGTCCAAATGACCCAGAAAAACTGTCTGTGGACAAATGCCGGCTCCCTCGGCCAGTCAAGCGAGATGAGCGCCGCAACCCCAGTGTCGTCCGCGACTGGACTTCACGGTCGGGGTCCCTTTACCTTTACCTTTCTAGATCTTGTAGGAACCATTAATACTGAAAATTTAGAAACACAAGAAGCTGTTTCATACTTAGTCAGAGCATTGGTCAATCTAGCTTAGTACTGTCTACTGTTGTCTAGTAGTATTTTGGGTAGGAATCTTTTCCCAGTACTACCTACAGATGCCAGGGATAGAACACAATTAGGCTTTTCACCCCATTAAGAATGAATTTTTTGGTCCTCAGGGGTTCAGATATGGAACAGCATTCTGGAAGACATTCTTATTTAATGAAGCCAAAACATTTTTGTCTAACTTCATTTCTTATCCATTTTGTCCTTTATCCTTCCTAGTGTAAAAGAGTTAGAAGTGGTAGCTATTCTCAAGGGAAAATGATGAATAAGGTTCAAATGTTTAGGTTCTTTTTTTTAAAAAAAAAAAAACAAGGCATATTCAATTGCTGAAATATAATTTTGATGGCTCAGCTGTTGGCAAAACCTTATACTCTTCCTGTTTTACTAAATTAATCCATAGTCTAGTGATGTCTTCCATAAGCACTAAAATGCACTTCTGGCTTAAGAAGTCAAATGAACATCTTGGCATGTACGCAACTCTTTTTTTATTACATTTACATTGACTAATTTTCTAGTGCCACGTAAAATCAATACAGTACACTATACACGCTTTGTATTGAAAATTCTAGTTTAGAAAAATGACTTCCATCCACATATAACTAAAGTCAGCAGAAAGTGGGGAATCACAGTTGTGGCAACACTTTAAAGCTGTGGTGATCAGCTGAAATAGCGGCTGGTGATAGCAGCCCATATGTGTACTGCCAGTTCATGAAATTCCCATAATGGGGCTCCATAAGCAGGAAGAGTTGCAGGAAGAAAACAAGTCATTTATCATGTATGAGCCATCATTAAAATGGTCACCAAATGCAGAGTTGGGGGGGGGAATCTTTCCACTTTATTCACTTTGTAGTTTGGGGTTCACATAACGGTTCAGATAGACTTTCTTGATTTGAAGCATGGTTTTTGTTCAACTTACTTCTGATTTGCCTTTCCTTGTTTCTGCATTCTGCTTATGGAAATATAGCATTTTGTAAGAATGATGGGTGGAGTACAGTTTCATTGAACCCACATCTTTAGGCTAGCTGACCTTCATCCACTTCCTAAATGAGGATCAGAATATAATTAACTTTTGGATCTCACATTTCTCCAGATTTTGCAATATAATTCTCTGCTTGAAAAGTGTACCAAAAAGAATTT